AGGATGAATCCCTTGTGGTCTGTTTTCCGCTTGTGTATCGTGAAATCTCCCGTCAACGGGATGGCAGGCTATTATAATGAATTTGAGCGCGGCGACCGTTGTGGTATGTTTGATGTTCATTCTACTCTGTGGATATGCGTATGGAAGCATGTACGTGTGCCTTTGCATTAGCTCATTTCTTGCCCACGCTTATATTTACATTCGATGTGGTTGGGCGTTCTTCAAACTTCGTGTTTGATCGAGGACGAAGCGGGACACACTTTTCCAACGGGCACGGGTCGGATTCGAGGGCGAATCCTGCTCAACCGGGGGAGAATGATGCAGAAAAAATATAAGTATTATTATTATTATTATTATTATTATTATTATTATTATTATTATTATTATTATTATTATTATTGTTATTATTATTATTATTATTATTATTTAATAATTAGTAGTAGCTTAGGGAATAAGCTGAGCTTAGGGTTACAGGTTTATTTAAAGAGAAACTATGATTTGTTATTGGAGTTGAATTTGAGAATGAAAAATTGATTGTGTTCTTTCGGGAGAGTATCCCAAGTTCGAGAGAGTATCTCGTATCTTTTCTCTTTCGTTCACGCTTTCGCTACATCATGAAACACCTTCTACATACCCTCCAATTCTTGTTTAATATATATTGTTGTGAGGACCAAACCTACTTGGGAAGAGCTGATAGAGACGAGATTCCGTTAATTTTTCTAGACAAACATGATCGTCTGGCATCATCGTTAGTTTGAGTATTTATTCTTTTATTTTTATTTTACAAATTTACAAGTTATTTAATTATCATAGTCATTACTTAGTAGTAAGAAACTTATTTAATTAGGATTAAGAGTTATGTGTAAGACTCATGTTCTATAGTTTAAGGTTGGTTGAATTTTGATTGAATTAAGAAACAAGAGTTCTTTCTCCATTCTCCCGCTCGTTTACGCTTTCGCTACGTCAGTTGGTGTGATGAAAAAGATAGGTTTGGCTTCCTTAGACAAACATGGCCGTTTGACATTTTTAGTTTACTTATTTATGCATTTTAATTTATTGTCAATTAAGGTATTTAATTAGTCTAGTCTTGTTTATTTGGTAGGAAAGTTTATGGTAAATAAGGATTTCTTAGGAGTCCTAAGTTTATGGTAAGTATGTTTCAGTTTTATTTTAAGACTCTTATTATATTGGCCTTGTTTTGCGATCAGCGGATAGCAGATAGCGGATAGTGGATTGTATTAGCGGATAACGGATTATATTAGCTGATTTGACCAGCGGATTGCATTAGCAGTTTTTAAATAAGTGTTTGGTAAATAGTTGAAAGTTTATAGTTGTTTGACATTGCAAAATGACCAATAATGACATTTTATTATTTAGGGTGTATTCTTTTAATAATATATTAAAACATTTGATATTATTTAGTTGGTAATTTATAAATATATATATTGTTTTTAAATTTACTAACACTTGATGAATAAGTTATGAATTTCACATTTTTCTAGATAAATTAATCATATGGATGACATATTATTATTTATTAGCACCATAAACCAATGTAGATTGTAAAATAAATAATACAAATTAAAAAATTCCAAATAAATGATTTTTGTGAATCCTCTATCCCAAACATGCTCAATAACGGATTTGACGGGCCAAACCTCTCAATTAAGTCCAATCCGCTAATTTATCTTCAATCCGCTATCTTTCAAACGGGACCATTGTTTGGAGACTTGGTTGATTTTGATTAAATTAAGAAAATACGAGAGATCTCTCTCAATTTTCTCATTTATTTACGCTTTTGCTAAGTCAGTTGGTATCAGCAGACCAGTACGGTTCCAACGCCATGCCGCACAGACAAAATGACACTGTCGACATCAAGCGCGACACCGAGACAGCCACATTTAGCCGCCAAGTCGGAGCACTGACTGCGACGATGGAGGACTTTCGGTTTACTCAGGCCGTCACAAACCATGACGATTGCACGAACTGCACGCCGGACGGAGCACGTGGCAGCCAAAGAGGGGGCGCAGTGATCGGGGTCAACGTGGGCCATCTCGCTCCCAATTGAAGTCGTTCGTTGCGTGGGACGACGAGCGGATTGCCAACGACTGCTGATGGGAGTCGTCTTTTAAGATCGACATCCTCCGAATATTTAAGGGCCCTTGAGGATGAGCAAGGAGCTCATCGACTGAATATGAGGGGCCCGCCTTTTTTTTATGACGAGGGTTTGACTGCATATGAGGATCCGTCTCTTTTTTATGACGAGGGAAAAAGAGACGAGGAGTCGACCGAATATGAGGGTCTGCCTTTTTTTTTAGGACGAGTTTATCAACACTATGAAGTATGTCGCTAAAGTTATTGCCCATTGATAAAGCTGAGTTATAGTGGTTGACAACATAATGAGGATGTCGAGGGCGCTGTAGGATAGGAGCTTCCCATGCTGGATAGGAGCAATGTAGAAAAATTTATGAAGGCAGAATCGCGAATGAAGATTATTTGTGGATTTGAGATGATGTATTAATTGATAATAAAGAAAGGGGATTGACGAAAGGTTCCAAGATGCTGACCCTTGCATGTGTTGGAACTTGGAAGAGATTGCTAATACTTCGTACAAGAGGCATGACGATGATCATCGTCACCATGTCGTGTTTGAGGTGGGCGATTATGTGTGAGTCATATTGACGATGTGTAGATTCTATGCACGTGAGTATACTAAGTTATCGGCCCATAAAATTAGTCTGATCGAGATTTTTAGGATCAATTATTTATATAAGGAAAAATAAAATATTTCCCAACTTGTAGCTCGAAAAAATGAACTGAGAACTGCTTTCCTTATTTATTTATTTTTTTCCCATAATATCCAAACACTATATTAAACAAGCAAGGATTAGAAATTATTAGAAATTATAGGCCGGCATGGTAGACGCTCTCTTTGGCACAATTATTAGAAATTATAGGCCGGCATGGTAGACGCTCTCTTTGGCACATTGATTGTCATTCAAAGAGAACTAAATATGTTATTAAGTATAAACCTTATTTTTTTGGGGTTGATAAGCTGTCAGCCTTTTTCTCACATTCACCTTTTTCCAGAAAAATACTAATAACAACAATAATAGTAATAAATGAAAAAAATAAATAAAATTTGTATTTAAATTTGTGACATGATGTTAAATTTGTCTATGTGTTCGAGTCTTGGGAATGCAACAGTATTAAAACTTTTGAGGGAGAGCTTTGCCGCCCTTGTGATCCTACCCGGCTCGATTCCGGATTAGTCGGTTCCCCTATGGGTCCAGAAACCGGAAAGTCCCTGTACCAAAAAAAAAATTTGTGACATGATGTGATGAGTGAATTGTAGGTTATGGCAAAAATTATTAACAAGAGGAAAACATAGACTTAATTGTTGGCCCCATTCTAGACCAGTCACAAAAAATATTGTAAGCCAAATTTAGTTTTCTTTCTAACGAACAGCTGTTGAACCTATTCATAGACTAGCCACGGGCCGTCTCGGTCCGTCATCAGGGCCGGCCCTGGCCCAGGGCCCAATTCAACTAGGGGCACCATACCGGCCCACTATATGCACTTTATCTCATTTTAATTTAATTTATTTTTTTTTTTTGTTGTAACTGCTATATTTGGTTGCATTGTTGTAACCGCTATATATTGGCACATTCGGAGCTATATTGGGTTGCATTGTTGGAATAAAAATATGATTGGCACATATTTTTTTTTTCTAAAAATCAGAAACACCAATAATTTTTTATTTATGTTAATTTTCTTAATATATACCACAAATATATAAATTATTTTATTCATGTTACTAATGTAAACGTTGCATGGTTAAAATAAAATTTAAGTCTCAATTAATTTTGAATGATAAAAAATAACTTAAGAAAAAATAATAATTTTTGTATGATAGAAGTACATGTCTAATTAATAAATACAAACAAAAACGTGTTTTATATATGTGCAAATGCACAGGATTAAATACTAGTTTTTCTTTCTAACGAACAGCTGTTGAACCTATTCATAGACTAGCCACAGGCCGTCTCGGCCCGTCATCAGGGCCGGCCCTGGCCCAGGGCCCAATTCAACTAGGGGCACCAGACCGGCCCACTATATGCACTTTATCTCATTTTAATTTAATTTATTTATTTATTTATTTATTTTTTAAAAAAGATGAAGTATGACTTGCCCAATTCAACGAGGGGAATCAATATATATGGCAGAAAATCTCACCAATGTTAAAAGTAATTAAGATTCTTACTTTTTCTCTTCCCAGTAACATTTTTCTCACTCTCAGTTCTCACTGTATGTTTTTCTCTCCTTCTCTCTACTTAATTATATGTTATATATTATTATTTTATTTTAAGAACGTATTTATCTTATTTACTTTTGAAAAAAAAAAAATTATAGAATTTTGTTTTAAAAAGTTATATTATTTTTTTATAGCAGTAATATTTAATATATAGTTTAGTATTTGCTTCACTACTTAAAAATGTTGAACTTTTTCTACTTTATTATATGTTATATATATATTACTATATTATTTTAAATGCCCTAGTTATCTTATGTACTTTTAAAAAAACTATTTATATAATTTACTTTTAAAAAGTTATATTATTTTTCTTGATAGCATTATAAATAATTTATAGGTTAGATTTACTTCACTAGTTCAAAATATTTTTAACGAAGTTTAAAATTTGTTTAATGTATATTTAAACAGATTTAGCAATGCTTAATGAAAACACCTAGAATGTGAAATCATGTCATTATCTTTTATCAGTGTAATAATTTTTTTAATTGGAATTTCTTGTAGTTGCTAGCTTTTTTTATGAGGTTGCATTTTGTTGTTTTAGGTCATATAATTCTATTATTTAATTTTTCCGAATAAAGAAATGGGTTATGAATTCCATACTCGGGCATTATTTTCGTGTTTGGCCCAGGGCCGTTCAGGACCGACTCTGCCCGTCATCCCAGCCCCGACCCGGTCCTGGTCCCGACCCGCAACTGGTCCGTAGGTTGCCGGTTCCGAGAACCAGCACCGTGGCTTTACGGGTCCTTTCTGGGTCCTTTTTCTTTGTCGCATCGGGCCGGGCCGGGCCGCACCATGGACCGGCCCGTTGACTAGCCATGTCTACCTATTAGGGGTGAGCGTGGGTCGGTACGGTTCGGAGATTAATAAATCTCTTTAATCATACCAAAGTTTGGAGATCCCAAAATTCGATCTCTGGAACCGTACCAAAAAGTCGGTTTGGTTCGGTTCATAGATTTTTATTTTTCGGTTCGGTTCAGTATTAAGGACTATTGGGATGGTACGGTTCGGTATGGTTTGGTTCGGATTTTCGAAGATTTCTTATTTTTTTTAGATTTTTTTTTGAATGACTACCTAGTTATATTTTAATTTTTATATGCTTTAAAAAAACAACATTCATCAATAATTCATCATTAAAGATTTCATTTTAAAATCAATTTTAGAAGTAACTCTAAATTTTAGTTATTTAATTTTTATATGCTTTAATAGAACCAACATTCATCAATACTTCCTCATATTAAAAATTTTATTTTGAAATCAACTTTAGAAGTAACTCTAAACTTTAGTTAAGACTAAATTTGTGCAACTAATATTGAAAATTTAAAATTCAAACAAAATATAATATTTTTTTCTAAAAAATATTCTTTAACCTTTCATATTATTTTAACTAATTATTTTATAATAGAAAAAATTCAATTATAGATCAAGTATTACTAAGCATGAAAGTTAAGTGAAGGTTAATAGTTATTATTACTATATTATAAAGGATCAAAGGTGACATAAAATATATTAATAACACATCTAATATTATAATTCGGTTCTTAATTTCGGTTCTTCAGTTCGGTACGGTATGAGACGGTTCGGTTCGGTTATCGGTACGGATATTTGTGAAATCTCCAGAACCGTATATTTCTTCGGTTCGGTTCGATTCAGAGAAAGTCAAACGGTGGTTCGAAATGATTTCGGTTCAGTTTTTGGAACGGTTCGGAATTCTCCGATTCCCATGCTCAGCTCTACTACCTATTCAGGATATATGAACAGAATTTTCCCTCTTGGAGAAGATAATTCTCAGTACAAAAAAGAAAATTATTAGATACAGAAACCAAAAGAGCATAAATTCCTGCAAGTATTGTAGTACAAACCAACATTCTCATTTTTTTTTTACATACAAATACACTTCTTTTTTTAATCACATTATAATCACACAATAACTTATATAATTCACCCAAATTAAATTTACAATACTACGAAAAAAATTAAATAAAACGACACGAGCATCGCAAGGGGGCATGCAGGTCGAGTCGATACCAGGCCCGTCCTTTTTTTTTTCCAAATTTTTCCAATTCGCTTCAAAGTAATATCACTTTCTGAATATAATGTATTACTCTGAAGCTGCTCGACTCAATATCTTTCCTTTAGGATCTTAGTTTTGCCTCTTCAGCTTTGGGTTTCACTTTCTGAGCAGCTGTTTTACTTTTATCAGCTGCCTCATAGGACAGTTTTCCGGTTTTTCTGGTGGCCTTACCATTAGGCGAGACTAACTTGACTTTCTCGGGGACTTTGAATGTAGGGGAAATTTTGTTCGGCGGGCGATGTTGTGCTGCTTTTTTGGGACTTTCTTTCACCGGGAGCCGGCTTTCCCAAGGCCGAGCAGCAATCCACCTGTCCTTCCAGCTCCATCCCCAATTTTCCTTACTAAATTCGAGATTGGTTGACCCAAAACCCGGGCTCGAGTTGGCCCTCCACTGTTGAGAATTTATCAAATTATTATTTATGTTTTAAGCGCGGCAAATTAGACCACTCACAATAAAAAAAAAAATAAATACAAGAAGCTTATAAGCTAATCAAATAAGCTATAAGCTAGCTTAAATGGGCTTAATTGAAAAGCTATAAGGAAGTTTTTGAGATAAGCTCGAGCTTTTTAAAAAAACTCGTCCAATCAAACCAAACTCAATTGAATACAAGAAGCTTATAAGCTAATCAAATAAGTTATAAGCTAGTTTAAATGGGCTTATTTGAAAAGCTATAAGGAAGTTTATGAGATAAGCTCGAGCTTTTTAAAAATACTCGTCCAATCAAACCGAACTCAATTGAATACAAGAAGCTTATAGGCTAATCAAATAAGCTATAAGCTAGCTTATAGGCTTACCAAACACAGTCTAAGTATTGTCTTAAGTGTTGGTCTTAAGAAATGCAAAGAAAGTTGAAGAAATGCTACCTGATGGGTAAAGGCATATGCCATGGCTCGTTCGCGCCTAACAGCAGCTTCTTCTCTCTGATGAATTTTCGCAAGAGCTTGGCCGGCTGTTTCAGCGCCACCTGTCCACTCGACCTGCCACACGTTTCATTTTAATTTTTTTTTTTAATTAAGTGACGAAAATCAAATCTTTTCAAGTCCTTTCTGTATATCTTTCAACATAGAGTTTACCTCAAGATCATGAAGCTTGGCTTCTAGCTTCAATTGATTCTCCATCTTTTTCTGCCTGAGCTGACCTTCAGCAACCATGTGAACTCGACGTGCTCGAATCTGAGCTTGAACCTTAGTCCATGCATGCAGATGACTCATAGTGGACGAGGCTTGCTTTTTCACTGAATCATGTTGCATAAATTTCTGTAGCCGTGACTGTCCTCTCAATTTGCGGAATTTTTTCCTAGCCTACAAAACATGAATCCAGGTAAAAAGTCAACTCCGAGACTTCAGTTATAGAAATGAAGTTCGAAAATCCAAAGTCAACTCCGAGACAAAAATAGCGAAGCAAATGGCATACCACATGTGCTCGGTATGCTGTCTGAATCCGGACAGCAGCAAAGTATTCCTTGGAGAGACTCTGATTATCTGCAGGGACACCATTGACTAGTACTGTGCACTCTTTTACCGAGCAGGGATCTTCTTTATTGCCATTTATTCGTCCGGGTGCTGAATATCTCTGTTTAAAAATATGGAGAAAACAGAACCAAAAGTTGCAGATGCAGATATTCAGATATATGCAGTAACATTTCACTGTTCAGTAATGCCCCAATATTTTGAATGCTAAGAAAAACTTATAGAAAAAAGTTTTGAGGCAAAAATATAAAAATACAATCTGCAAAATAGATGGAGGGACCATAATATCTCAAAAAAAAATCGAGCAATATCATTTTAATTCCGAGAGGTAGGCAAATCCGTGCTCTAAAATCATCAGATTTCAGAACTTATGCAGAAAAGATCAATTAGGTAGTTGAAACTAGAAAAGCCAACATATAACAATAATTTATCCACAACAGATGTAAATAATCTCTCTTCAATAAGTCACCCGAGCCAACGATCTTCAACCTGATTACGAAAAATATCACAATTTCACAGTGGCAGTGTCACATTGTAACACATTCAGAAAGATGATTATAGAAAGCACGGTTTTCAGAGATTCGAACCTTCAGCTTATGCGATCCATCTCCTTTCACTTTCTTTTTGCTAATTATATTCTTGAACCAAACTCTTGAACCCATTCACAATGTTTTCAGCACAGACAACTAACTAATACACACTGCCTGCATAAGTCGGATTTACATCAGTTCAGTCGAAAAAATACAAGAAACAACAGGGTTTTTTTTTTTTCTCAAAAATTGAAATGTAAACCAAACAAAAACTATTCATGTTATTTCACCAAACATTCCCCAATTTCGACTATACTGGCAAAAGAGTGCATCATATCTGAACAACAACACATCAATTATAGTGACAATATGTGTTGGAACTCATCAAATTAAGGAAACTAGACTAAGTGGTAAGAACAAAAACTTAAATCTGCAAGAGTCCCTTCAATTCCCACCCCATTATTCTCCCAGATAATGCATAATCAAATCAATAATAATAGGAAAATGTCCTCAATTCTACACAAAAAACAAGCTTTGGGTAAAAAAAAAAAAAGATTAAAATAAAGTGAAATTTGGATCCAATCAAGATTCATTGAAAGCTACTTATTTTTCTCTTGCTTGAAGCATATTTACAGGGCACATCAAGAAACAGTCTTGAAATCAAGCAAAACAAGAAATTAAAACAAACTGGGCAAATAGGAAAATCTCACTTACTTACCAGAAAAAAAAAAAATGTTGACCTTCACACACTGATATTCAGCTTAAAAAACCCCACAACCCCTATTTTGCAAAAGGTTTTTTTTTTTTTTTTTTTTTTTTTTTT